TGTCGATAATGAGCATACCAATTAGCTCATATAAATCATGGTATCTTAAAGTGAAATTAGGTAATAAATAGCTGCAGAGCAATCAAATTATTTTCTGTATTTATTTGCAGAATCGCAGCTACACACCTCCCTTTCCTGCCTCAAAAGGTTTTTCTATTCACTTAGAACACAATTCTGTGAGTCTGGACAGTCAGACCCACTCCCTTCTTTTACTGACCTTCTTGGGCTTCCCTTCCAAGCTGGTTTCTGCCTTGGGACATACAGCTTTTCCCTTTGCCTTGTCTGTTTATTAGTCATATTCACACAACTAGTCTTTCACTATCTGACCCAAGTGGTACAAATGCCCCATTCTCCAAAGCCTTCACAACCACTTGATATAGAAAGAATACCACCCTGTCTAGCTCCTGTTCTATTTTCTCCCATGCCCATCACTAACCCAAACCCTTTTTAGTGTCCATCCCTTTAAATAAAACAAGCAGAACAAGTATCTGTCTTTCTGTGTCCCCAGCACTCAGTCTGGATCATGCATATTACTGGTTTAGAAAAGACTGAATCCTACTTAAATGCATCCAAATGTTTTTGGTGAATTGGATTACTCCTGTGAATGTAACAGCTTGTATTCACTCAGGGTCTACAGAAGTTAGCTCCAGCTGTTCTCATCTCTACTACACTCCGGGTTTTCATTTTGTCTGATTTTAAAAATGACCATTTTTAGCTATCACTGACCTGCTGTCTCTTGGTAGCTCCTAGTCTCACTTCAAATATTTGACGGGACTTCAGCGTAAAAGTACACACAAATGGGGCTGTTCTATCATAATGTATTAAAGTGCAATAGCTAGCTTTAGTGCAGTCAAGCACACCCTCCTGGATTTAGTTCTAAGGATGTCTTAGCTCCCTTCTTGATCTAAGAGTTCTTGGGAAAAAAAAGTTAATAGTCCTTAGACCTAAATTCTGACATTTTCAGTATCTTACACCACAACGCTTCTTACTCAAAGTGCTGGCATCTCCTTCATCTATAAGCTGTACAATAGTTTTGACAAAGAGAAAGAGGAAGAGGAAGAGGAGATGACAAACTGAAGCTTCATTTTATAGAGTTTTCTGTTTTGGAATCAAAGTCCCATGTAGCTCAAAGGAGTTATTTGGGGATTTTTTTTTTTTGCCTTTATTCTATGATGAAGAATGAGACAGGTGTGACAGTACATGCCTGCAATTATCAGCACTATACAGCTGAGGCTAGGGGGTTGAGTTTAGGCCAGACTGGGCTACACAGCAAAAAAGAAAGGAAAATATTTTTAGAAGAAACATAAAACTGACAACACCCAGTTCCAAACTAGGGTTCCAACTTGTACTTTAAGATTCAAAAATCAAGCCTGCTTTCATACAAAAGAGTGCATGGATGCTCCAATTTAAGAACTCAGTGTGGACTTCTGGCCCAAGCTGCAAAGAACAGTAAAACCACAATCATATGTTATAACCCTATAACCTCCATCCCAATTCAGGCCTTCCCCAAAAGTTCCCCAAGGCTAAAAACCATCTTGTGCCACCTCTCCAAGTCAATTTAAACACAGAGTTGACAAGCTGAAAGGCAGGGACCCTGACCAGTCAGGATAGGCCCTCCATATGCTCTGCTTTCTTCAGATCACAAAGAAAAGTTAAGTTAGAATACTGAAGAAACCGGGCAGCGTTTCCTGGAAGGGATTTCCTTTCTGTCACAGAGGGAGAAACCACGAAGAAAGTGTTTCTACTTTCCTGAATTGTCTAAAAGAAATTATTAAAAAAGAAAAGTGGTTATGGAGAAAAGGCCAAAATAACTACATGCGCCCATCTTTAAGATAGGCTTTAGGAATCCATGGCCAATTATAAACAGTACTACTAGTATATACTACATTTTCTGGGTATTGCTGGTGTAATGCAATCCCCATTGATTTGTATATATTGATTTTGTAAGCATTAAAAATCTATTTGTTGATGAGTCTGTATTCATGCTCAGATGCCGAGGAGCTCAGAAGGTGGGCGACTGTGACCAGTGATAGTCATGTATATAGAGATTAGAAATGCATGTGAAAACGTCTCAATGTCAATTGCTTCGGAATGAATTCTTCTGTATGAAAAAAAAAAAACAAGTATCTTCTTGAAGTCCCTCAAATTAAGGAAAAGAATAAGAACAAATCATTCTGGAAGAACGCAAAGGAAAATAGCTTTAGATACTTAAGTGACAATTGAATTTATTCTTATAATTGTTTTAATAGCTTTTGTATAATCCTCATCACTATTATGAGATATAAAATGTATTTATCAAATCTGTAATCATT